CTTAAGGCATAAAGGACTAACCCTCCAACGCATTGAATGAGCAAAAGATGCAAGTGTATGGCCATGAAACATGGACTGAAATCACATAATAAATGATGTCAAATCATTCAAATAGTCCAAGCAAGGCATGCTAGTGGACTTTGGTGCACAAAGCTAACAAGCTAGATTGAACCATGGCTATACAAAGCAAGTCATGCATGGCCAAAACAACCTAAATCAGAGCTAGAAGATGCTAAAACATGGACAAAATTTTCTTGAAGTTAAGCCAAAAGCATGCTAGAATGACATGTCAAAGCATGAGGCGTGTTAGGCTAATTCATGGAAATGCACTACAAGTGCATGGAGCATGCAAGAGGTGACCAAACCAAACCCTAAAAGAGGTATGACATGGCAAAACATCACCAAAAACATGCTGAGATGGACTCAAATGAAGCTAGAATGACATGCTACTTCATGAAGCATACAAAGCTAGTTTGTGTGATTTACACTACAAGTGTATTAACCATGCATGGGGTGACCAAACCAAGTAAAAACAGTGGTATGCCACAGCAAAATAACCACAAATCTTTACAACGTTGTTACTCACAGAGCACTGGGCTATAGACAGGCTAACGAGCATCCTCGGATGCCAACCCTACAAAGTAACAGAACGAACACACACTCGGGATCAATAACTTAGCCCCTAACTTTACATGGTGTGGTTCTATAACATTATCCTCATTAAGATGCCTTAAACTTGACCTAGGAATGCCTAGAATGGAATGAGGATGCCAAAATGCACTTTAAAACACTTTTCAAATTTTTGCTGAAACAAGGGTCTCGCTCGAGCGTAGCTTTCTATGCTCGAGCAAGCGTGCCAAAACAGAGGGGTCGCTCGAGCGTGAACTTCCTCGCTCGAGCGGTCTGTAAAAATGCAAAAAGTGCTGGATGTTGAAAATCTTCGTTCGACGCTCGCTCGATGCTCGCTCGAGCGTGAGACACAATCATCGCTCGAGCGTAGGTTCCTTCGCTCGAGCATGCGTCTGCATACGCAGAAAACCTGAGAGCTTGCAATCTACGCTCGAGCCAGCATTCCTTCGCTCGAGCGGAGCTCTGAACAAAATATGGTCGCTCGAGCGTGGAATCATTCGCTCGAGCGTGAAAACCAAAATCTGGAATTTCCAGATTTGCCTCCCAAGCTCAAACCAAGCATTCAACACTTCAAAACTCAACCTTTTGGGCCCATTTTCTGGAAAACATTTGAAAACTCATACTACAACATATTTGTAGATCAATTTTGTAAAATCAAGCCCAAAGATAAGCCAATTGAACACAATTCAAAGAAACTTTCATGAACTAAGCAAAAACATAAAATGCTTGAGTTCTAATGGACTCCAATGCTCCAAATCATGATCAAATGTAAGATTGAGCTCAAAATCAAGGTGAATTCATGGACTACAACCAAAATATGAACATGCATGTTAGAATTTTCATGAAACCAACCTCAAAACTCAAGAATATGTACATGCATGCATGCATGAATTAATTTTCAATTCAACTCTTTAAATTAATTCTTGACTTTAACTCCAAATTTTACCATGAACCATGCAAGAAACAACTTAAATTCATAATCAAGAGGGTGAATTTCCTACCTTAGGTCTTGAACCCCAAGTATGGAAGTCTAATTTTCCAATCACTCTTCAAGTCTTCTAATTTTCCAAGCTAATTCTTGTTGAAACCAACTTCTCCTACTCTCCCTCTCTTGCTCACGGTTTTGGGGTCAAGAAGATGAATAAAAGTGGTGCATCAACAAATGTAAGGTGTAAGGAGTATTGGTGAATTAGGCCACTAAATGGCAAAAGTGTAATTTACTCAAACCGATGTGATTTAGCATCATTTAATCTAATTTAATCATTCCAAATCAAATTTTAATTAAACCTACTGTAAAATCACATAAATCCTAATTAGCATATAACACTAATCGATTTCTGGTTCGGTCGCTGATAAAACCTTCAATTCGCAGTTCAAAGTTAAAACATGAACAGATTCATTCAGAAATCAAACAGATAGAAATGCATTCAAAACAATACACTCATACAATCGATTCAGAATATCGTTCTTATCAGTTACTTATCATGCTCAATCATAGATTAGCACTAATCAGAGGTGGGGGTTGTCATAACTACTTTTAATATATATATATATATATATATATGATTAAAATATCAACTATATAGAAGAAATCTAATAATGACACAACTAAATACGTGATAAAAAATATATAAAAAATAAGTATTTATCAAATAGAGTTCATAGAAAATTGATTATTATAATTGAAATTGAGTTTGTGTAGAAAATTATAAGTAAATGAAAAAGACATATTGAAGTGATTTTTTTTTGCGGGGGGAAGGAGAATAAACCTTTAAAATGTGCCACCTAAGTAAAGAAAAAATATTACTTTTAATATAATATATATATATATGATATGGATTAAAATAATAATTTATACCAATACAAAAAGTAAAAAATAACATAAAAACATATATAAAGTATGTTTGCTTGTATCCATATTGAGTTATAAAAGATAACAACTGTAAAATAATTTATTTACTAAAGTGAAGTATCTTAACTTGTGCTCAACAATCTTTCAAGTTATTTATGATATCTATGATATAATCAAATTAAAAACCCAAACTCTGTGTTTCTTAATAAATTTTATCAAGTCAACTTGTTAAATCTTCCTCCACTTAAAAATTTAAAAAAAAAAATGTTACTGCAAGTTTTTAACGGAATATTATTAAAATAACTCAATAATACGTACATATTTTGCAGCTCGAGTAAGTTGTTGATAGTAGTTGAAGGATCAAATTTTGGAATATTTATCTAGGGTCAATGGCATGACAATAATTCCAATTCCTCTTTGTAGGTAATAGATTAATTGTGTTTTTCAATCTTTTTCTCAGAAAGAGAAACTTTAGATTACTGCTTACACTAAAATCTAATAATGAGTTACATAAAAAGTAACCACTAATAGTATAAGGGTTCGTGGGTGGGGCAGGTTGTCCCAGTGGTTAGGGCGTTACTTGGATTGTGTGGGTAAGGCGCACGGCCGAAGTTCGATTTTTCACTGGGTGAGTGATTGCAGCAGTTTGCAAAAGGGTGTCCGGCTTCTCACCGACTACATACCTCTCAGGATTAGTCATGGCTTCCTTTAAAATCAGAGGGTTGGGGATACCTGAGTTATCCAAAAAAAAAAATAGTATAAGGGTTCGTTTGTTTTGGATTGTAGGAGATAAGGTGTTTTAAGAAGTTGATAAAAATTTGATTTTTTAGCTTTTTGACTTTTTTAGCTTTTTGACTTTTTTAAGAGAACTTGGTAAAAAGCCAAAAAATTGACTTTTTACCAAGTTCCCAAATTGCCCCAGGATTAAAATAGGATAGATGTGAAATCTACTAATATTGTGTTTGTTTATAAAATGGAAAAGGAAATTTGCAAAATCTTGGAACTATGATAGGCTTCTATGAATGGGATTAATAGTTCGCGATAAGAGATAATATTAGAAAAACAATCCCTTGAGATTAGAGAAGAATATACTATTTTCCTCTCTATTATCCTACCTAATTTACTCATTCTATTTTATTACAGTATGATTTTTTCTCTATCATTTTTTTTAAAAAAAAAATTATTCCACCTTTTTTAACTCTACCATTCTTTTATATTAAAATAATTCAATATGAAAATAATTTTTAATATAAAAAAATAAAAATATTTATACCAAAAAAAATTATATTAAAAAAATAAAATACTACCAGAAAATATATATTTATGACATTATTTTAATATTAAAATATAATTTTAATATTTATAAAATAATTTTTAATATTAAAGTATGTAATACATTTATTAGTTAATATAAACCCAAATTTGATAACAATGCAATGAAGTTATTTATAAAATGGAAAATGTTTAAGGGCCACAATTTTTGTGACCACAATGGCTCAAAACTGTCAAAACGACGTCGTTTTGGGTGCAAAACATGCCAAAACGACGCCGTTTTGACAGTTTTGAGTCATTGTGGCCACAAAAATTGTGACCCTCTATCATTGTTGTTATAAAATTTTACATGATTAATTCCACTCATCTCTCTCAAAACAAAAGAAATTATTTCTAGTCTATTGATTATTAAACAAATACAACTTTTTTTAAACTCCTCGCTAATAACCCTATCCAACCTATCGTTGATTTTTCTAGTAAAATTTATCATTGCATGGTTCTATTTTGTTGATTGGACTGTCAGCAAGCACATTAAGGCCTCGTTTGGAAACCCTCTATTTTAGCCAAAAAGTTAAAAAGTTACTAAATTAACCAAAAAATCAACAACACATACCAAAAAATCAAAGATTCTCCTTTCTCTCTACTTTTTACACATCTTTTTGTAAAAAGCCAAAAAATCATCCCAAACATACTAATTTTTTTTCTCATATTTTAATTAAATAACTAAAAAATTACTAAATTAACCTGTTTCCAAACAGGGCCTAAAGCATGCTTGAGCTTTGCAAGTCGGAAAACTCCTTGTGCAAGCTTTGACTTGTCATAATATTTGAAAAGGTCTGTTTGGTATAATTTTTTTCCTCGTTTGGGAACTCTCTATTTTAGCCAAAAAGTCAAAAAATTACTAAATTAACCAAAAAGTCAACAACACATACCAAAAAGTCAAAGATTCTCTTTTCTCTCTACTTTTTACACATCTTTTCGTAAAAAGTCAAAAAATCATCCCAAACATACTAATTTTTTTTATCTCATATTTTAACCAAATAATCAAAAAATTACTAAATTAGTCTATTCCCAAACAAGGCCTAAAGCATGCTTGAGCTTTGCAAGTCGGAAAACTCCTTGTGCAAGCTTTGACTTGTCATAATATTTTAAAAGGTCTGTTTGGTATAATTTTTTTCAACTTATTCAAGCTAATTGTGCCCGTTACTCTGACACAAATTCTCAAAATACTAATAAGAAAAGAAAATAAGTTATAAGTGGCTCAAGAAACTGCACCAAACAGAGCCATAGTCAACTTTCACATTCTTGAGCAAGCACCTAGTCAGAAGAGGCACCTTTGCAAAAACAGAAACTAGTACTCAGATGAAATCCGATAACAAGACCCAACTAACTGATCAATCCAAAGCAATCTCATTTCTTTAAACATTATTCACCTAGCGTTTCTGATTACTGTTTTCCTCCCAATAATACAGATGAAAAGAGAGACAAGATTTCAGGGGAAGAGGCAAGGGTTGCAGAACGCCCATAACAATGATGTGGTCATGATTCCCTTTTACAACTTACAACAGAGGGCTACAAGAAAGGGCAATAATTCGAGCTGTTTCAAGCAACTTCAACGGGCAGGAAGCCATTTGGTATTTCGGGAAAGAATTAGTCTTCAATCAGCAATGCAAATGATTCGAACGCAACTTACCTGAACAATAATAAATAAATAAAATTCAATACTTCATGAAGTTTGTGAGGAAGTTGTGATTGTTATGAAATGTTTCTTACCTCACAGAATTGCAATGTTTCTTATTGAAGCCGACAATGAAGTGAAGTCGATAATGAAGGTGCGGATTTCCATTGGAGCAAGCTCCACCACCTGCTTTACAGGATCAACAGGACCTCCCCTCAACACTTTGAAGTCTTCATCGGGAGAGCCTTCTACTTTCCATACCAATCTTTTATTGATCATTTCTTCTCTTTCTTGATTGGCTGATAAACTCATTTCTGTAATTTTGTTTATCTGCAGACACATTTTCAAGAATGATTTAGTTTTAATGAAGTACACGGATAAATTTCCACTGCATATTACTTTTACCTTCTTATCCGGAAACAATTTTTTCAATTCTACAACTGATGTAACTGAGAGATCCTTGTCCTCTCCAATCTAGAATCATACAGATAAGCAAAAAAGTTAGTTTTATAATGCATGCTCTGCTTAGGAAAATGAAAAGTTGTTTACATTTATTCATTTGATATTAACCACTGATAGTGAATGCTCTAGACTTTGATGTCCCATTATTGTGAAATGAATTTGACATACAAACACAACCCATATTTCATCTATACTCTATGTAAGAATAAATGATTCACCTACGCTGTGTTTGGTTGGAGAATTTGACGAGAGATTTGGAAAGGGAAAGGGAAAAGTTAGGTGAAATGCGAATAAAATGTACCTACATTTCACCTAATTTCACACACCTTTTCCCTTTCCCTTTTCCTTTCCCTTTCCAAATCCCCCAACCAAGCACAGCACTAGCATTGTTGGTTTTGAAATAAGAACACAAGGAATGATTCAGAAAATATACTACCAAATTCCTCTCTTGCAGCAAAGCTTAAAAGAAAAGGTACTAAGTTTTACAAAACAATGTTGCAATAAAAATAAAACTAATCCAAACCAAGCAAAATCTTTCAAGTTACATTATAGAATCATTCTGTATTGCCTGAAATTGGATACATGTGTCAGGTGCATGTGCGTATCTAGGGATAAAATGGGGTTTTATGTAACACACTGTCAAAAAAAGCAATTTACTCACTTTATAAAGTTATGAAACAAAAAAAAAAAGTGTTAAAAATATTAAATTGATGGATATGCTTGCTAAGCGCATATATGATGGGAAATATAGAAAAATCCAATACCATTATCTAGTTGTCAAGTGTTTGACGCAGGTAATTGATTTATTTTTAAGAGTACGTAACATAGGAATCATTTAAAAACCAAATCAATAATGGAAGGGATTGGCAGAAAACCAGGAATAGTGATGCAGGAAATAAATATGTAAATAAAAAAGCATCTATAGACCTCTATGAAAGAAAAGAAACCCACTGTTACAAAAATTGTGACAAAAACTAGCTATACGATGCGAAAGAGATTTTATTTCCTATTTTATAACTTTGTGCCATTAGTATTTTATTAATGTTCTTTTAAATTTTAATTATAGTTTAATTAGGAATTTTATTAATATGTAGTTTCCCATTTTATTAGGATTTTAGCAATTTTATTAATATTTGCTTTCCTAAATACGATTTTAATCCGGGGTGCCTGTAGTGCGGTCTTATGGGCTCATTTTGGGGTCCGGTTTGATGATCCGAACCGTTCACATTTTAGAGTAAATTTTAATTATAGTTTAATTAGGAATTTTATTAATATGTAGTTTCCCATTTTATTAGGATTTTAGCAATTTTATTAATATTTGCTTTCCTAAATACGATTTTAATCCGGGGTGCCTGTAGTGCGGTCTTATGGGCTCATTTTGGGGTCCGGTTTAATTATCCGAACCGTTCACATTTTAGAATACATTAAGTAGAACATACCTATAAAAAATCAAGTTAATCAGATATCGTTAATCCTTTCATCTACTCACATTTGTATTCATTTTAATACTTTAAATCACAATGTCATTTATTTTTGTAGATATAAATGCAAGTAGATGAAATGATTAACGATATCCGATTAACTTAATTTTTTATAGGTATGTTCTACTTTTTTTTTATCAACAGCAAAATTTAATTGATAAATCAAAAAAAGAAGAGAGGATAAGGCATCCTCTTACAACAAGACAATGAGAATACAAACACAAAATACCCCTAACAAGCTAAACACAGGCAAAAGCCTACACTGCACACACCGCCAACCAATCTCTAACTAACAAAAAAAGTGGGACTCCCTTAAATAAAGAGTTCCCTGACACCCAAAAAGAAGATAAGTGACAAACATGATCCCACAAACAGCCCACCTCCCGAAACTTATCTTCAAACAACCTCTGATTTTGCTCCATCCATAGAACCCAAAAAGTTGCAAAGAGGGCACAAGACCATAGCATTTTGGCTCTCTTCGATCCTCCGAATGTGCGAAAATCAACCAGGAGCATATGCGCACTCCCTTTTTGGGCGACCCACATAACATTTCCCAAAGAAAACAATCTATGCCATAATTCAAAGCTATTGGACAATGCAAGAATAAATGATCTACGGATTCCCCGTTCTTACAACACAGAATGCACCACTGAGGATTTAGAAAACGATTGGGTCTCCTTTTCTGCAATGTATCATTTGTTAAAATGCCTCCATGAACCAAGGTCCACATGAACACCTTTACCATTAAGGGAGCAAAAGCCTTCCAAACTTTTTTGCAAAAAGGAAACTGAAGAACATGAGGATTATCCACGATGAAATCAAAAAAAAACTTACAAGAAAATATTCCGGACGAATGAAGAGCCCAAACCCTCTTGTCCTCCAAAAGAGGAGATAAAGAAAAATGATCAATTCTGGACAATAAAGAAATCAACTGTGAAGCCTCCCTATCATTAAGATTCCTAGAAAAATCAAAATTCCAGGAAATTGGAGCCAAAAGTATGAGAACAAGCCACTGGATATAGATGTGGGAAATCCGCAACAAAAGAAGATTGACCCATCCAAACATCCTCCCAAAATCGAACAAATTCCCCATTGCCCACCCTTACAGAAAGATGTCGAGACCAACATGTGAAAATTTGAGAAATTGACTTCCAAGAAGCACGACAGCTACCCCTCAAAACCACTCGTGAATCTCTACCATTGTCTTGAGTCCCATATTTGCTTCTTATAACCGAATGCCATAGTGAATCAGTCTCAAGTGGAAATCTCCATAACCACTTGCCAAGAAGGGCCAAGTTCCTAGCCACAATATTACCGATAGCCAAACCCCCCTTCTCCTTAGGTAACGACACTAACTCCCAATTCACCAAGTGATCCTTTTTCCCCTCATCCTTTCCTTCCCAAAGAAAATCCCGCATCAACTTTTCTAGTGACCTTGCCACCTTTATCGGAACCTTGAACAAAGATAAATAATAAATAGGAATACCACTTAAAACAGCCTTAACCAAAGTGTATCTACCCCCTCGTGATAATAAAGCCTTACTCCACCCTTTCAATCTCTTGCCAACCTTTTCCACCACTGGAGTCCAAAAAACTTCACTCCTAGGATTACCCCCCAATGGGAGACCCAAATACTTAAACGGAAGTGACTCTATACCACATCCTAAAAGAGACACCCTGTTCTGAAGTTGATCTTGCTGCATATTAATTCCCACCACGCTATTTGATGTACTCTAAAATGTGAACGGTTCGGATTATCAAACCAAACCCCGAAATGAGCCCATAAGGCCGCACAACAGTGCCTGCTGTGCCCAATTTTAATCTGACGATAAAACTGACCAAATCATTGTGCAATTAAGGATTTCAAAGAAGAGTAACATACAAAGGCAGAAAATAGTTCTGTCTCGTAATTAAACCTTATGTGATCCAAGTGCTAGACAAAAAATTTGAAGTTGGTAACACTCAAGGACACTAGGCCTTTTTTGTAATTACTATATGAAAGACGTAAAAATACCTCATACAAGTGCGCCAACCGAAGGAGAACCTTTCCATCTTCAAGCTCCTGCAGTATTCAGAAAAGAGGTTTAAGGTGGAAGGTATCCCAAGAACTTAACAGGTCAGCATCAGGTGCACAAGCAACATGCAACAATCTAAAGAAGCAATCACAGTTGCTATTTCAGAATACATGAAAATACCTCGAGGGTTATCACGGCAATATTATCAGGTAGACTGTAGGAGGGGTCCATCCGAGAAAAACTTGGTACTGGAAAGTTTGTCCATTTATCTCTGTCCTGCAAAAACATGAACCATCCATATTACTGTCAAAAAAATTTTATCATATCAGCAACAAGAGCACTTAAAAGTCTTTCTGTCACCTGCTCGGTGAAAGCCAACAGAAATGGAGAATATATCTCCTGACCAAATGACCGACGCCACTTAGCTCCTTCTCCCAGAGGATCAATTCTGAGATAATACTTTCCTTGGATCTGTGAGAAGTATGCCATTTAAGCTAATCAGTTGTGGCTGTTGCAAACTAAGATTCATAAAAAGATTAACAAAGCAACACATTATATGCATACGTAGATAGAAATGAAGGTCAATATATTAATTATAAATTCGAGTATCTGAAAATGTATTCCATTGAAAACAAGACAACATGCACATAACCCAAAGCCACAAGCACATAAGATTTTACATATATCACTGCAGCAGATCCGTAGTGCAAAACTCAAGAAATTAAAAATAAGAAAGTCAGCCAAACTAGCATGTAAAACTGAGCTATGGAGTAGTGTAAAACAGAGGATTATATTTGCACAGAACAGATCCCAACCAAAGAGTATAGCATATATACCAAAAGACTGAGGGCTGTAAATTATGCCAAAAGTTAGTTCTGTACCCAATTTACCCCACACGTACCCCAATCAAGTGGAACTAAATTGGGCATACTTTTACTTACATATATAATTTTATGTACCTAAAGAACAGAATTTTCAGCAAACATAAGAATCTGGAAGATATAGATTTGTCAACAGATCAAAATTTCAATGCATCACTTTCATGGGATCAACCCCCAATGCAGCTGAGAAAACAATTCATGATGGGCTTGCCATTGGACTTCTGAAAAACAGAACAGAAACTAAGTAGAACAATTCATGAAACGACTCAACAAGATGGACGTATAAAGAAAGAAAAACAGTAGAACTCCTTGAGGAGTTCAAATTAACAATCAATCTCAACTACGGGCTTCGACGGATGAAAATATTCTTAGTGATCTATACAAGAATCTGGCCATCATTGCAGAAAAGGAATCACTGAGGAATAATAAAAAGTTAATCACTTGAAGAAGGCACCATAAATACAGTCTAAGATGTGAATGCTAATTAACAAGCCTGATGCTGTAACCAACTAGGTCTAGCCTAGTTGGCCACCATGACTTTTCTAAGGGCTTAGTCCCTAGGGGGAGTTGAATTAAGGGGACAAGCACTTTGTGCTTTGCAATAGGTGCGGAGGCTAACTCCCATAAGTGCTAATCTAATAATTAATAACTAACTTTCACCAATCAAAAAAATAAAAAACAAGCCTGACGGTGTATGGGAGAAGACACTTCCTGGTTCTTACTTCATGAAATACAATCATTCTTGAAGGTCCTTCAACCGCAATCAGCTTTAGCTAATGCAGAATTTATAGAAGAGGGAACACTGCCAGAGTACACCTTAATCTGCTCAACCTTTTTTTTTGTTTAGGATCAACAACAAAGGACTTTATTGATAAATCAAAAAAGTAAGAGAGGATAAGGCATTCTCTCACAAAAGAAAAGGAGAAAAACACAAAGCAAAACCCTAACAAGAAACTCTTAAGCAAAAGCCTACGTATCACACACCGCCAACCAATCTCTAACTAACAAAAAAAGTGGGACCCCCTTAAATAGAGGATTCCCCAAAACCCAAAAAGAAGTTAAATGGCAAACACTATCCCACAACCAGTCCATCTCCTAGAACTTATTTTCAAACACCCTCGCATTTCTTTCCATCCATAGAACCCAAAAAATTGCAAAGACCACACAAGACCATAGTATTTTGGCTCTCTTCGATCTCCCGGAACTTAATCTGCTCAACTTTAGGATGCAATAATAAAAAGCCTATGAAAAGTGTAAAGGGTAGTTTTGGGAATTGGCTATTTTAGTTGTTTTTTTGATTTCTACAAAAAGACATGTAGAAAAGTAGAGAGAATAGTTGACTTTTTGATAGAGGCTTTTTGGCTAAAATAATAGGTTCCCAAAACAAGCCTTGAACTCAATTTGTATGGCTACCATGCACATAGGGAAAACGGAGATCTGGGGACTCATTTTGCAGGTTGATCCAAATTAGTTACCTTCAATATGCTGATATTGCATGCAGTATGCGTGGCCAGTTGAAAAATCAGGTCTCAAATACCAACCAGTATGTCGAGAAACGAGAGTTTGCATGCAAATTTTCCTTTCAACGTTCTAACGGTGTTACTGCCAAACAGTTTTTCCCCACCCAAACCGATACACAATTAAAATCCCGCAATGAGAAATACATGGAGTGACTTGGAGCACCTAACAGACATACAGGAAAACCCTCAATTCCACACTGACAAACTGGTCCCAGGGAAAAATGGATCTCTCTCTCAATGTCTCTTAACACCATTATGCAAGGTTGAGGATATTCTTCACAAGAATAGGAAGCCTAGCATAATTTGAGCAAAAGAGTTGCATTATGTATTATGAATCCATTTTCAAATAAAACACAATAAACTGTAAGAACCATTCTTTAGTGGACCTCTTGAGCAAATTCAATCTGCTACCCTATCCTTGTTACATATGATACCTTGGAATTAGATGAATCTGACACTTAGACACGTACTTGCACCCAACAACATTTTAGTCACTCCTCAAGCATCAGTAAATGACAGACTTGATTCCAAAATTACTATGTCAAGGAAAATTCTAGTTGTAAGCAGGTTGACTTGAAGTTATTTGAATTGTGAATCAAGAAAACCTAATGGGTACCCTTTTGGGAGCAACTCCCCTACACATACATCAAATGCTGTAATGGTGAGTTGAAATGGATAAAATCTTTAGATCCTATCTAGTTAAGAATTATATAAAGCTATCCAACAAGAATAACTTGAAGAAAATAAATATATATATATATATATTTTTCATACAGATTTAATTGAGTATTAGCATTATATATTTTCTTGATGAAGCAGTATTTGATTTATACATAATTCAAAATGTTGGTTAAAGTAACATTTCAGCTGTACAAAGTAAAACATTTTAACATTGCCAACACATGGAGCAATGACGTCATGTACAAATTCAATTTGGCCAACGAAAAAAACAAAACAAAACAAAAGGCAGATTAAGCAATTCGTGGTATAATATGCTTACTGTTAATCCAGTGCATTCATCACGAACACAAACTATTTCATTTAATGCCTCTGCAACGCCTCTAGAATCGTCATGAAGCAATCTCCTATACAATGGAAAACCAGATTATCTAACTTGAAACTTGGAACTGGTGTAATAAGCAGATAAAAATTATCATGGCTCCCAATCTAATAAAAAATTAGAAATTAAGAGAGGATTTGGAGAAACAAGAAACAAAATGGGAAGAAACCTATGGAGCATCAACTCCAGTTGCCCATCCACAATGCTGGATCCACCCACAGATCTATCAACCAAGATTGAGAACTCTTTGCTGTCATCTTTCATGTAGATTCCAAGATTAATCTGAAAGTTAAACAAACTAGATTTAATATGTGAATTCCAAATAGTCTAATCAAATTGCATAATAGACTTCCATAAAATCCTGTAACAACTATCAACTGCAGTGGACAAATCTTTTTGAACAATGGAAGAATGATGCACAAGCAACAAGAATATTGTACGGATGTAAAAAATAATTCTTCTTATCTTCAATAGCTACCTAGTCTTTAAAATATCCTCTCAAGTTAAAGAAATAACTACAAAACTAAAGATTTAAGGGCCAATCCACAAAAACTTTGACAAAGCTTTCCTATGTTAATTTACACATTTAATTCAAATAGTTCCAGCCATGGTCACAAACATAAATAAAGCACGAGCCAAGCTTAAAATCTAGAATTCATCATTGAGGACATGGTTTGAAATGTTGATGAGATAATTTATAATAATAATTGCTGGGCACTAAACTCCCATGATTACAAACATTTGTTTCTTTATTATTATTTTAAAAGCAAAGTATAAAAGTGAAAGTGAATTCTTTTAGATGAAAATGATACAAGATTGGAAAGCAGGCATGAGAAAGCTTTTTCAGAGCGGAGGTCGAAGTCAAGCTATGAATCCTCAATTTCACCATCCGTTTTCATATGAGTTGTTTCCAGCCTTGGTCTTTTTTTGTTCAAAGAGATTCTTCAGCCAAAGGAGTAAGTATTGGGTGTTGGCATGTCCAAAAGCTAAGATCGGTTGAGGCGGTAAAGATGGTTGTGTAGCTTACTTGGTGGACTCCTTTAGTTTAGCGGTCATGGATCGATTCTGGGCGGTTAACTAGTATACCCCTATTCTCAGAGTTCACATTCTGATCTAGCAAATCGACTTTCCAGATGCTGCTCGCTTTCTCTCAGCCACTATTGGCTTGTGTATTGGTAGGCATTCCTACGTGCTCCTCCTATCACAATCAATCGGGTTTCCGCCACTATCAATGACATTTCAAAATCCAGTTTTGATCCACACAACCAGACACCCGTCTTTGGGATGAAGGAATCTGGCATTAGAGTCTCACATCAAGCCAATGTTTTGAAAATCGAACCGGACCGGCCGATTCAACCGGTTGAACCGTCAATCGGTCTAGGGTCTGGTCTGGTCCGGTTCAGATATACTCTCCTAACCGATCCCACTTGAAAACCGGCCATGTTTAGCTAAATCGGTTAAACTAGTCAACCAGACGAACCGGCGCTGGTTGAAGAGAACTGGGCCAGTTTGCTATGCATGATCCAATATAGAAAAAGTTGGTACTGTAAGGAGTTGAACCCAGCATCTCAATCTCCAAGGAACATGAATTTCCACTATGTCACCATGGCTCCTTGTTAATATAAAAGAGATATATAACATTTATTGCATTCAAAGTAATTTCTCTCAAACACATGTATAATTAATATTTTTACGACAATATTAATATAAAAATATAAATAACCATATATATTTGATAAATATATATCTTAAATTATAAAAAAATATTTTAAATAAATGTATTTTATTTATTTTTAAATTATACGAATATATATAATAATTATGACGCTACGGTTCAATTCTAGTTAGACTCAATGGTAGAAACAATGACATGTCCACCCAATCCCTTTTCCGATTCGCTCACTGGTCTGACTTTTACAACATTGCATCGAGCTATAGCTACGAAACTCGATCTTTTTCATTAACAGAAACAACGCGATTTTCCTAATCAATCTGGTATAACACGAAACATTGTTTGCACATCATCTGATCACTTGGATTTGATAACATTATCCCCCTTCTTGGTCGTGCCTTTGGGCTCACCCCTACCTTTGCCCTTCCTCGTTGGTGTCTGATATAGCGTATTCCGCTTGAGACTGCATGGTGCTCTAGACTTTGAACGAAGGAAGTAAGGGCTCTCCAGCCTTATGGGCTTTCCCTAAATAAAATAGTTCATAGTAAGTACTCTTTAGAAAGAGGTTCGCTTCCTAACCCCTCACCCTGCTGACCACTCCAATTCTGGAAGAAACAAGTTTACAAGTAACTAGTAAGGAGAGATGGAAAAAAAAGACAACCACTAGCTGAATCATTTAGGTTTCTTTCATTATTACAAGATTTTCTAGGAACTCCCCTTCAATCCTTAAGAATAGATATTCAGAGTCTCAAACTCAGAAAATTATGAGGCAAGGCAACTGACTCTCTCTTTAGTTAGGATCCACTCCAAAGAATTCCCCTCAGAGTTCTTGTGTCCTCCTTCCAAAGGCTTCATCTTGTGCCAAAGGGATAGGCATCTTATCCAACTTCCTCATTGAGCGCAGGAGTTTAAGAATGTCAACTATAAAAAAAAATTACCAGGAGATGTTGGGAAGGTCTAAGATAATGAAAATAACACAAAATTTCTCAAAGAAAGAAGAAAAACTACAATGATTTCATACATGGTCTACAGAAACTTCCTGAACCATACACAATAAATCCAATTGAGAAGATTGATAGTAATATCTGTGTTCAAGAAGACAAGAATACCCAAGAAGGACAAAGAAGGCCAAATAAGAAGGCTTTCAGTTTCACTACCAGTCTGACTACAATGTACCTCTCACAATAAAATTGAATTTACATTCAACATATGTACATATGGATATATCCAAAAGAGTTTCCCTAAACATTTGCCTACTCCATGTGACAGATAATGTTAGCAACATCAAATAAGAGCAGGCCAACAAGCTTCTTCCATCAATTTATGAAATTCCATGTTCCCACATTGTGAAGCAATTGTCACATTGTGACTTTATCAATGCAAATCATTTTCTTTCCCAAAAGGTTATTGCCATCTACATGGTGAAAGAATCCCATGCCACAACAAAATTTTGAACTTTCTCAATACAATTTTCACCATGAAAAACATAGCTTTGGAATCATAAACAATTTACTGAACAGATAAGATCTAAATAGTTCCAATTATGACATAAACTTACAGGGTAATAATTTCCTGCAACTGGTTGATTCACTTCAAGGTCCCAGTCAGCTCTATAGTCTCGAATCTGCAAAATAAAATTATTTCCTTCAGTTAAAAAAAATTACTCACGCTAACCTATTTTTAATGAGACACAAAATGTGATGGTATTCAAGAAATGTGCTCAGTGGTCAATGTCATCTGACAAAAAAGGCATATGCCACACTGGTAATAACTAATGTGATTGTGAGTACACAACCTACCCTTTCAATGAAATCACGTCCATTGGAATCTGTATAAAATGTCTTATTACTTTTCAGGGCTGTTGTAACCTTGGTTACAATCTCTTTTCCAACTCCATCATCAATAGGTATGGGACCAACCTGAAACTCAGTTTATTATTGATGAAAAGAGCTTCAGAAAGAAATTAGATTCTCTTCAATATAAGTTTTCCTATTCTAACCACCACAAAGAACTCATGCAAACACAAAGATGATGGCAAACAAAAATGTACTTACAGTGAATTCAACTTCAGCATGCTCCTTTTCCTTGTACACTCTAGTGATCTGCTCAAAAAAACAATGTTACATTACTAAGAATCACAAATAGAGCTTTCAGAGAGCACAGTGCTCACATATGTCATTATTTAGATTTTCATCATTTAGTGAGACTATAAATTCGTACTAGGTCAACTTTTCCACATTTCCACATACCATCGCATCATGATCAAGTTCTAGCCAGGAAGAGAGAGAGAGAGATGGATCAATCATGGTTTTTTGCTTCACATAATTTTTTTTTTTCCCTAGATTTATTTTTTTTTTTTTTTTTTTTTTTTTGCACAAGATAGCGGTTAGTATGCTAGTAGTTAAATTACAACGCAGGCCAACATCTCTCCATAGATTTGAACCTAAAACCTCACTCACCTTGGCACCTAAGTGCCCTCTCCATCACCACTTGGGCAATTGCCCGGGGTCTAGATATACTTCTTCAGCCACTAGCAAAAGTTGAATAAAGACGCCACTCTTTATAATATTATATATATATATATATATATATTTTAAATGGTTATAACTTCAGCATCACAATTGGAGCATTATCTTTATAACTTTCTAATATGAATTATTTCCTCCAATTATCTTTTTTTTTTCTTTTTTTTTTTTTCCTTTTTTGATCAGCAACAAAGAAGAATTTTATTAAAAAGGGAAAAAGAGGTACAAAGGAGGACAAGAAGTCCTTGTAGTTAAAAACTGAAAACTAAAAAAGCTCCAAATCGCATACTGCCTTCCAATCACTAGAAATCAAAAAAAGTGGTATTCCTCTGAACAGGGGAGCAACTGAAAGCCCAAAAAGATGAGAGAAATCTGATTTTTTCCCACATCGAAAAGACATCCGAACTATTGTCCTGAAGATCCTCACATTCCTTTCCAACCATATGACCCAGAATAGAGCAAACACTGCACAAAGCCCCAACACCTGAGCATTTTTGTTAAGGCCTAAGAAGCGAAAATCAATGGATAGCATCAAACTACATGATTTTGGAGCCACCCAAGCAAAAAACTGCTGCCACAAACTTCTTACCACAGGACAGTGCAAAAAAAGATGATTCAGATTCTCCCCCTCCCTTACATATAATGCACCAATGAGGAGAGAGAGAGAGAACAATTAGGCCTCCTGTTTTGAAGGACATCATTGGTCAAAATAATTCCATCAACCAAAGCCCATATAAAAAACTTCACTTTGGGGGGGCGCAAAAGACTACTAGATCCTTTCGCGAAGAGGAAAAAATGGAATATTGCTTTCTAATGATTTTTTAGAAGACGGATTTGCAAGAAAATACACCAGAAAAATGCAAGAGCCAAACCAATTTGTCACCCGAGGAAGGAATCAATGACACATAATTAATGCGAGACAAGGAGGCTAAGTCACCAGCCTCCCTATCAGTAAGACTTCCAGATTATTTCCTCCAATTATATCAAAATGCTAAATCAGGTCCGGAATATAGTTCCCCACCTTATCTCCAAGATGTTACTAAAGTTTCATTAGAAAAATGTGTCTTTTGTCACTATATCCAAGCCCTACTCTTAATTTTAGTACATGATTTTCAATGACATCATAATTTGGATGAAAAAAGAAGAAAAACGAGGTAATCACCTGATATATCCATGAATTAATCCTCTGATGAACTTCGTCTAATAGTGGTCCTCGCACCACTGTAAGTGGAATCTGCAGCTTGAAAAACAGCTTCTCATTTTATCATTTCCATCAGTATAAGTTGTGCATGCAGTACTTTGATAGGCAAAATATACCTGCCCTTCAGATGTCAAGGGGAATATACCATTTGGACGAAAGATGTATGCTCCAGAGGCCTTCAACAACAACCAGAAAAGAAAAAAATTCTTGTTATACAAGCTCGAAATGGTAACATTATATTGTAATACAGTCATATGAAAAGAGAAACAGTAATACAAAGGTGTATAAACAATCATACAAAAGTAACTTGGACAAAAAAAAAAAAGAGGTTTAAATTACCTGGAAATATTCAGGATCCTGACTTCCGTCATGTGCAGAATAATAGCTGTATGATTGCTCAATAGATTCTTTGACCTTCAATTTTAAATTAATATCAAACCAAATGCATGTCAAAAAATTGAAAGAAAAGAAAGAACAGAGTAGCATTTTTTTCCCAAACATTGGAAATGCAATAACAACAATTATAACAATTCATCTCATCATAAAAAAAAAAGGGGTTGCAATCAAGAGAAGGGGCAGAGACAGGGTCATTGGTCAAAATAATTCCATCAACCAAAGCCCATATAAAAAACTTCACTTTGGGGGGGCGCAAAAGACTACTAGATCCTTTCGCGAAGAGGAAAAAATGGAATATTGCTTTCTAATGATTTTTTAGAAGACGGATTTGCAAGAAAATACACAGGAAAAATGCAAGAGCCAAACCAATTTGTCACCCGAGGAAGGAATCAACGACACATAATTAATGCCAGACAAGGAGGCTAAGTCACCAGCCTCCCTATCAGTAAGACTTCCAGATTATTTCCTCCAATTATATCAAAATGTTAAATCAGGTCCGGAATATAGTTCCCCACCTTATCTCCAAGATGTTACTAAAGTTTCATTAGAAAAATGTGTCTTCTGTCACTATATCCAAGCCCTACTCTTAATTTTAGTACACCATGATTTTCAATGACATCATAATTTGGATGAAAAAAGAAGAAAAACGAGGTAATCACCTGATATATCCATGAATTAATCCTCTGATGAACTTCGTCTAATAGTGGTCCTCGCACCACTGTAAGTGGAATCTGCAGCTTGAAAAACAGCTTCTCATTTTATCATTTCCATCAGTATAAGTTGTGCATGCAGTACTTTGATAGGCAAAATATACCTGCCCTTCAGATGTCAAGGGGAATATACCATTTGGACGAAAGATGTATGCTCCAGAGGCCTTCAACAACAACCAGAAAAGAAAAAAATTCTTGTTATACAAGCTCGAAATGGTAACATTATATTGTAATACAGTCATATGAAAAGAGAAACAGTAATACAAAGGTGTATAAACAATCATACAAAAGTAGCTTGGACAAAAAAAAAAGAGGTTTAAATTACCTGGGGACTTCCGTCATATGCAGAATAATAGCTGTATGATTGCTCAATAGATTCTTTGACCTTCAATTTTAAATTAATATCAAACCAAATGCATGTCAAAAAATTGAAAGAAAAGAAAGAACAGAGTAGCATTTTTTTCCCAAACATTGGAAATGCAATAACAACAATTATAACAATTCATCTCATCATAAAAAAAAAAGGGGTTGCAATCAAGAGAAGGGGCAGAGACAGGGTAAATAGCTTGGAAAGGCACACAGGCATAAAAAAGAAAAAGTTACTTCGCATACCCACCTCAGGTTTTCAAGGAATGGCCTAAAGTTTAACAAGCAACAAAAGAAGTACTCAAGTTTTGAGGCCAAGGCCTTAACTTCTATGTAGCTCTATTTCCAATATAACAATGAAGATCTTACGTAAATAAGTAAGGTGCCAACCGAATAACATACCAAACTTCTGGTATTAACATATTGAGTAAGTGTTCCTTCATTAGCAGAATATGTAAGCTTCAAATTTCCTGGCCCTACTGCTATAGTGTCATTCTGGCTTCCCATGGACTCGTATGACATTTCCATTGCTAAAGTAGGGGCTGCATTTGTAAAAAGGGACAAAAAGAAAATGCAACCATCTGTCAATAATTCTCAATACTCAATAAATGAGCTAAATGATTTCTCTACTTTGAATGAGTAGTTTCAAAAAATGGTAATTAGATGGCTAACCTGCCCGTTCAGCAGTTGAGATGACATAAGTGCTGAAACCAAGAGGTGGAACAGATGCTGTAAATGCAAGCCAATATCTGGGGGTTGTACTTGGAGATTTACCCACATATGCAGTAGCATAGTAGTTTCTTATGCCTAGAGAAGCATTAGCAAGTGGTAGAAGCTGTGATTCAATTTCTGTTCCATTAGAATCCTGAACTGTGACATTCCCATTGATCACCTGTTGCAAGTTTATGAATTGGGATAGATAATGCTTGAAAGTTAATAAACAAATCATTAAAATTGTCCACTTTCCAGCAGAAAAAGAGAAAATATGAATTAGGGTATTTTCACATTAGATCCCAGTATTATATATTTTTGAAAGGCATATAAAGAGATTAACATTTTCATGGAACTAGATACAAACATATTTATAAAAATAAAAATAATAAATAAATAAATGGAACTAGGTAAAAACATACTGTAACACACATAATTGTGACTATGTTGAAATTTGGATAGCTTATAAATTACTGGTTAGGTAAGGTAAGACGACAGATATGCAGGTATTGAGTGGGAAAAAAAATGATGTGCTTCTTCAAAGCCATGGCTAGTAGCTTAACCAAACCAAGCCTTAAGTCCCATCAAATGGGGTCGGCTAGTAGCTTTATTTCTAAGAAATAAAAAATGCTATTCTTATATAGATAGGTATCAAATAAAGATGTGAATTTCTCAAAATCAAACAATATAAAAGCCGTATCCATTTCATGTTATCCATATTCTTGAATCATATATTTTTATTCAGGTTAAAAGAATAGATAGGAAAAGAATAATACAGCTCCTCCTGATGTGTTTTGCAAGAAGATGAACAGAGCCATGTATTGATTGCCTCTAAATTAGAGGCTTTCTGTTCTGAGCAGTAAATTGAAGACATACATTAACATGTAGGACCAATGAATTCAGATGTCAAATATCTACTCAAACTTACTACATAACAAGTTGGAGCAAAGATATATGGCAGGAATAACAAGGACAAATGAAGAGTCAAAGGTAACAAAGACTAAAGAATCTTTTATATGACCTCTATCCTAAGAGAATACTAGAGTGGCTGAGGATTGAGACAGGGAGTAAACAAAAAATACTCACAGGAATTCTTACAACATCATCTCTTTTCCACCCCAGGGAATTGTAGACAACAACAACCTACAAAAAAGATGGCAATAAAAGTGTTTTACTTCAGATAAATTAATCTATTTTTGTACCTGATGTAGAAGCACTTAAGTTAAAAATATTGTTAAAACATACTCCTCACCAATTTTTTTCCAAGAGAGAGATCTATTTCTGTTGCAGGACAATAACTTATATTCAGAAGCGGGCACTGGCATGAGAAAAGGAAACCTAAATGTCAATTCAACAATTCAATGTTTCTTGACTACTTAAGAATTAAAAAATAAATAAATTACATAAGTCAAATATGGCACACAAAAAAAAAAAACCACAAATTTGCAAAACATAAGTCAAACTCCAATACTGACAACTCATTGATGGAGATGCTGATTTAGAGATATTACCAAAATGAAAGTAATATTCAAGCAAGGACTTAGTTGGTGAAGTCTGATAGGTAACCATATAAAATACTTGAGATTAAATCCTGCCTCATCTGGATGAGGGTTATGATGGGGGAGGTTTATCTAGTTGGTAGCCATTAGGAGTGTAAAAAAAATTGAGTGCGACAATTACACTGAACCAAACCGACCAAAATTTTCAGTTTCAGTCAGTATTCTGTTTTAAAGTTCTCAACTGGATTTTGATTTTTTGAAAAAGTGGATATCCCGGTTCAGCCTTTGGTGCAAATAACGGTGAAACCAATTATCCCCGAACCGACCAAAAATATATATAACATTTATAATTTTATTCTGTCTTTTAGTTGTCACATTTACTATCCAATCTCTACTCCATTTGCCAGCCCAAATTTGCAAGTTATTTCATTTCCTTTTTCAATTTTCAACTTGCCCCCTCTCTCCATCCTCGAGCAGCTCACCCATCACTCAATAACTCTCTCCTTCTCCCCCGCTTAAGTTGCCCACCCACCTACTCTCTGCATCACCAACATGATTGAGCATACAATGACACATGGCAGACCCTAGTACAACCAGGACCACCTTCTTCTCCTCCAGTGAAACTTGTCACATGGTGACTGCAAGGATCTTTTGAACACAACAGCTTTAGATGCAGTGAGCTCACCGCTGTACGGAACAGAGAGCTCAACCACAATTTTAGATCATGCAACCAGAGTGCACTTTTACACTTGATTTCACCAGTGTTCACTACTACTCTCTCTTTCTATGATTTTTTTTTTCTTCCTGTATTACTATATATCCAAATATGGCTATAGATCAATCGATTTAGGATGTTCTTAAACCAAACAACTAAACCGAACCAAACCAAACTCTTTCAATTCACAGCAGTTTGACTCAGTTGCATGTTCTGCTGGTCAGTTTTGGTGCAAATTTATACAAAACCAAGAGGATCAGTTCAGTAGAGAATTTGCCAAAAACTGCTAACAAACCAAACCACTCTCACCCCTACTAACCTTTTTTGCATTTTGGACCCAAGATAACAATAAGATACAATAATAATACAGAAAGGAATACAGTAGCTCCTAAAATGACTGAGTTAAGGTGTGCAAGCATCTGCACAATCAATTTGAATTACTTTAAACTTTAAAGCCTGAACTAATGACAGATATTTTGGTGGAACATTTATAAAGAAAACTGAAAGGTTTATGGTTATGCATGTTAATCTAAATACAAAACAAACACAGCCAACTATGAAGCATATAGGATTGTTATCGTTTGCCTGTTGAAATTTAGTCAATGGACTCCTGCATCCAGATTTAGATGTTGATTCTACCATACAAGCAAGTGAAGCTGCAACTAACTCCTCAGACTGCAAAAAATATTGGATTAGTGATGGGACTCATAGCATAAACATAACTGCATAAGGAAGTTGACTAAGAGGAAATATGGGACTCTTGGAGCAAGTCTTTACCTCCTTGTAGCCTATTGACAACCGTGTCGCGTAATCATCAGCCACATGCTGCTTTTCGGTGCCAGTAACTGCATCATGATGTTGAGCAATTGCCAAAGCATCAGCTAAAGTGTCTGTAGTGGGTCCTATTTTATTCCTCCCTCTAAAAAATTCCAATTGCCTTGCAAGCTGCCACGTATTGGAATCTAATAAGCATCACAATTTGAAATTCTTTTCCAGTAAGCAATTTGCTGGTCAATGAAAGCCAAAATAGTTTGTATAAACCTACCAAATAATATCCACTCATCACTCTCACATAGCGTTTCAGAGAAGGCCTGCTTGTAAAATATCCTGTCCAGTAAGCATTTACACGGTCGGCGTATCTGATAAATACATACACAAATCCTTCATTTTAGACAAGTGGTAAAAGTAGGGGCATTTATTTCAACTTCCTAATTGTCAAATTTTGTACTCACGGGAAGAAGTCATCCGTCTTAAGGGGCCAGGATTCATTTTCTCTATATTTTGCATCGGTGTAAATTGATGGGGTCGAGTCAGCCACATGCTGCTTTTCGGTGCCACTAACTGCATCATGATGTTGAGCAATTGCCAAAGCATCAGCTAAAGTGTCTGTAGTGGGTCCTATTTTATTCCTCCCTCTAAAAAATTCCAATTGCCTTGCAAGCTGCCATGTATTGGAATCTAATAAGCATCACAATTTGAAATTCTTTTCCAGTAAGCAATTAGCTGGTCAATGAAAGCCAAAATAGTTGTATAAACCTACCAAATAATATCCACTCATCACTCTCACGTAGCGTTTCAGAGAAGGCCTGCTTGTAAAATATCCTGTCCAGTAAGCATTTACACGGTCGGCGTATCTGATAAATACATACACGAATCCTTCATTTTAGACAAGTGGTAAAAGTAGGGGCATTTATTTCAACTTCCTAATTGTCAAATTTTGTACTCACGGGAAGAAGTCATCCGTCTTAAGGGGCCAGGATTCATTTTCTCTATATTTTGCATCGGTGTAAATTGATGGGGTCGAGTACAGTGCATTGACACGCCCATCCTGCAAACATACATGAAGAAATGTAGCCACAAAACTTAAGTTTGTTCACATTTGTAAATTGTAACCCTCCACCTTTACCACATGCCATGTGATCACATACAAAGAAAAAATGTAACAACAGTAGGTGGCATCAGGTATGAGTCTGTGTGAACTCTCAACATGTTGTATAGTGTTTATATCAGGTAAAGCATGGCTAATTAAACTTTTTATTTTTTCAAAATAAGAGGACAGTCAATTGAATGGAAAATATAACATGATGCAAGAACAAGCATAATCCAATTCAAATATGGAAAATATTTAACCATGATTTTGAGGAAAACTAACTTGATTGACATAATGAATTAGCTTGTCCAAATTCCGGAACCATGTCTGAGCATATTGATACTTGAAATCCGTGCCCATGGTCCACATTATATGATTTGTACGGGTTATGTTAGCCTGAAACAGCAAACATAAACAAAATTGCTAGTAAGCCTCACATAGTTAGACTGTTCTAGCAAAAAAATCTTCAAGCCAACCCAAGCTGTAATACTGCAATATCACAAAAGCAAACAAACTCGCTACATTTTCTAAAGGAAGTCCTTCAAACACGTACTTCAAAGCATCATCTATCAAGATCTTAATTTTTAAGGGTTAGCTAGGTTTGTGGCAGCATTTAAGCCATTTTATAACTGAAATGTAGCTTTTCACTTTTATGTATAACTAGTAGAATAACTATCTGACTTCCATTAATAATGGAAGAAGACATGTTTCTATTTTTCTTCAACACATTTAAAGCAATTATCTTTGCTCTGTTTTCAGATTGGATAAGTAACAATTACATGAAACCAAGCACTCCAACTGTAAGAGGAAAGTGAACAGGTTTTTATATGGAGCAAGTTAAACAACTGCACCCATCTTACCTGTGATAAAGCAGCAGCTACAAAATCGTTGACACGCTCTTGGACATTGTAATCAAACAATTTGATATTATCCTGCAGTGCACAAAAGAGACACGGAAATTACCATATGCACAAGCACAAGTTAATGTTCAAGATACTATTAACATTCTTTTTTCATGTATTTACCTGAACAATGGGAGAATCATCGTTAATTTCAAAGTAGAAACCTTCTGGAGGTTCATAATTCTTAGGAAATGCACCAGCAAAAATCTACAAAAAGTGATAATACAGATAGAATTCATTTCCAAGCAACAAGAAATGACCTACCAAAAAAAAAACCATTTGTAAATGAAATCTACGTTACACAGACTCAGGTACGGGTATCGGGTGCAGGTGCGTATCTAGGGGTCGGACATTTTATAATTGAAAATGGAGGATACGGAGATATGAATCCAAATTTGGATATGGGTATGGGGATACGGTAAATAGTTATTTTAAAAAAATATTTATTAAATTATCATGTTAAAATTTATCCGGATAAATTTTTCAATAATATTTAATTAATTAAATACAACATAAAAATATTTTTAAATAAAATTATTATCTTTATAAAGTTATTATTTTAAAAGTAATGGGGTGAGAGAGAGAGAGTTATTATTATCTTTAAATAATAGTGGGGTAAGAGAGACAGAGAGTCATTATATTTAAATAAAATTAGTGAAGAACAGGAGAGAGAGAGAGAGAGAGAAGAGGAGATCGAGCGATGAGAGATAGAGAGACGAAGGGATCGAGAGATTGAGAGAGAGAAGAACAGGAGATCGACACGTGTACAGGTAAGGAGGACGAGATCGAGATCGCACTTCGATTTCGACTTCGACGTCGAAGGGGAATTCGAAGCCAGTGACAGAGGATCGAAGGGGCCACACTTGTCGAAGTTGTCGAAGTTGTCGAACAAAGGATTAAAGCCAGTGACAGGTTCTCTCCTTGCTCTCTCTTTCGTTTCTTCTGCATTTAGGGCAAAATAGAGCCGTATCCATTTGTAAAGAGCCATATCCCGCACCTGTAACGTGTCGTGTCGTGTCGTGGTACCTCCCAAATTTCAAAGAGTCTGTGTAACGTAGAATGAAATGTGAACAAAGGTTGCATCCATCATGAATATCCTTATCAAATCTATTATAATAGAGACAAATATAAACCACTTTGAGTCACTCACCTGTGCAGATGAACCAAGACTCTTGGAGCCCCGCCACACAACCTCAAGACTCTTCTCATTTTTCCGCTTAGCTCTATCTTGGTAGTCAATACGCCCAAAAAAAAGAGAGTCAAATCCAACCTAAACCAACAAAAAGGATCAAGTTTAGTTAACCGGCATTAGGTGCAGCGATTTGAGTGGGTCAATTTATTATTATTTTTAGCTTGTATAAATTTTTGTATCCTTCAGGCTTCAATATGATTATATTCTTCAATAGCTGACAACTCATGACTGATGAATGTCAAAGATGTCAAGGACTTATAACACAATAGGCCATACCTCAGCCCCCAGAAGGTAAGCCTGCACTGCTGAATGTCCAAAGGGATCGATTTGCCAACCAATTCTCGGAGTCACATCAAACTCCTCTTTGATAAATCGGTGCCCAAGTGTTGTCTGATCTATCATGTCGATATAATGTGGAGCTGCCTCATCATGCATGCACATACCCCCATTTCTGTGTCACCACCAAGTAATAAACAATAACACTTAATTCATAACGCTTAACATGCTCAATTAAGAGTTGCATACTCAACATATTTATGTCATTTCCTGTCTCCAATGATTGATATATACTAGATTGGAAATGACATTAATGAAAAGCCTGAATCAAATAAGTGAACATAATTTTTATATAAAACTATATTTGAGTACATGACATTTTATACATGAACTCTAGTTGACCCGAGCTGACAAGCTGCTTGACTGTACTCTGGACTGCCTCGCTCTGATCCGTCCACCAAAGCTGGAAAAATGCCTGCATCATCCAATATGCCTAAGTCAGTTTCACATTGGGTTCTGTCTATGTCAGCGTGTTTGTGTCAGCCTATGTGCAAGGACAGACCCAGGATTTTGTCTGGTGGTCTCTTTTGGGGTAAAAAGTCATTTTTGGCTTTTAACCTATTTTAGGTCACATCACCTCTCTATGTTTTTCCAAAAAAAGCCAAAAAAAAAAAGCAAAAAAGCCAGCTTCTAACCAACTTTCCAAAACAAATCTTAACTAAAACTAAAATTTGAAAATTTAATAATCATAATAATAATGTATATTAATAATATCCTATTTCTTTTTTCTTTTCTTTTCTTTTTCAACATTTCTCAAAAAAACAATGGACATATTCCAACCGAAAAAATCCAAATTATCATTTTTTTTTTAAATGCACAAACGTCACAATTCTGCTAAAATATATACATGAAAATACTGATTTTGTAACTTTCTAAAATAAATATTAAAAAAATAATAACTTTCTCAATGCATGCTTTATTTATCAGAGCTCCATTTATGATGACAGAGCTAAATTTAGAAATTTAAGAAAGATATATATATATATATTCATAAAATTCATTTTGAATAGACAATGATTTCTTTACCCGGATAGAGACTAACACTCCGTTTGGATCATGAGGTATGAAAAGAAAAGAAAAGAAAAGAAATGATTATGGTTTCTCACCTTCTTGTTTGGATGTTTGGATGTACATTGATTAAAAGAGGATACAAGTATCTATATATTTTATTTGTTTTGTATTTAGAAGGGTAATTTAGGCATTATAATTTTTTTGTACAAATCTCAACATTTTTGGTGAGAAACAAAAAAAATGTCGTTGACCGGTTGACCGGCGAGTTGATCGGCCGGACTTCCAGGCAGACATCTGGCAACACACAAATAGCATGAACAGTACCTCACTTGTTATTGCGAGATACTATAGCAAACACAAATTTTGATGAGCTGCAATCGAGATTGATGGAGGTGATTTTTTGAAATTTATATCGTTAATTTAGCTAAGAATCGATTATAACGATCCTGATGCTGATGCTCTAAGAGAGAAAGAGACCAATATGAGATGGAAAAAAATTCCTAATTTAAGACCAAATCAGTGGGGGCAATTGGGAATTTTTTTAATGAAAAATAAAAAATTTTAATTAAAGATCAAATAATAATTTTTTATAAGCGTATGGGAATATATTTATGTACATACTAGCGGTCTGCACAGGAGATGCAATTGGGGAAAAAATAATATTGCAAGAATAATGACACAGAATATGTGTTGCACAAGTGGTAAGTATCTTCTTAATTAAACTCATGATCTCAATTTCGGGTCGCATCCTCCTCCCAAAGTATGAGACAATTTAAGTCAACACCATCTCAAGCTTCACGTAGATAATACTACTATAGATATGGAAAGGCAACAAGATTGTGACCTGTTCAACGTAAATGAATTTCCGATTTTTATCAGCCAACAGTGCTGGAACTAATGAATCCAATACATTTTGAACACACGCCCCCTGCAAACAAACAAAAATTTCAACAAAAAAAAAAACACTCAATCAAAACCAGAAACTCAAATGTCAAAAGCAGAAATAGAAATTAAGAGTAGAGAGAGAGACCTGGATGGAGTTCTTGGAGCCAACATAGTACTGATCAACAGTCTTTAACCATCCAACATCGTCGTGCGTATGAGCAACCAAATGAACATTGAGCTTATCACTAACAATACCTTGTGAAGTATTGTAGATCATGTACTTCGATTCAGCGCACAGAGTAGTCAAGATCAAAGTCAACAAACACACTCGAATCGCAGCCATTGGTGCTGAAATTGACAAGTTTCGAGCTCCAAAAACACTTCTAAAGAACCATTTTTTGGATTAGGTATGTGATTTGATCGAGCGGGGTATCCAATGAAGAAGTTGCAATTTCTTTGGCACGAGCTACAGGGCTTTTGCCGTGGATTGAGTGAGAGTGAGAGTGAGAGTGAGAGAAAGAGAGAGTGAGGTGCATATAGATAAGTTTTGACGCTGACCCGTGCCTCGTTTGGAAAATTAATTATTAATTTATATATTTAGAAAAATAATTAATTTTTTTTATAATTAAATATAATATTTATGAAAAAAATAATTATCAAATTGATATTATATTATATTTTATTTATTAATTATTTTAACCTATCTTACTTATTTTTTATAAATTTTATTAAAAAAAATTAAAAAATCACTAGCCAAACAACACCTCAGTGTTGCAGGACTTGAGTCAGTGAACTTATCGGTATGGATATTATAGCAGCGGGACTTTTCTTGAGGAAGATTACAACTAAATTTTTTGGATTAAAAAATAATTTAAAAAAATATACAACGTATATAAAATAGAGTGTGCAAAAAGTAGAGAGAAAAGAGAATCTTTGACTTTTTGGTATGGATTGTTGGCTTTTTGACTAATTTAGTAACTTTTTGGCTAATTGACTAAAATAGTCTCTTGTCAAACGAGGCCTCAGTGTTGCAGGACTTGAGTCAGTGAACTTATCGGTATGGATATAATAGCAGCGGGACTTTTCTTGAGGAAGATTACAACTAAATTTTTTGGATTAAAAAATAATTTAAAAAAATATACAACGTATATAAAATAGAGGTTATTTTTTTGATAAATTTTCTTTTTAAGTGTTTTATTATGTTTAATCTATCCTTTTTTCAGTATTTATTTAATCATATTAATATAATTAAATCATCTTTCTAATTTTTTACACATGTTTCTATTTTGAAACTAATAAACAATAAAAAATAACGAGCAATGATTGAGATCACCACCCCACAAGACTTCCACAAATCTGAACCACTCATGATGTGAACCATACACATACATGAATAGGTCTCACACATTCATGGAGGGCCAAGATCACTTTGAAAGTGTGGGGGTCATCCTCAAAGGGAGTCCCAAACGTTTCTGAAAAATAACAATAGTCTATCATTTTAGGGAGCAAATTTCTCTCTCATTTTAAAAAAAAAAAAAAATCTCTTATTCTATAGATAAAATCTCTCCTTCATTCTAAGAAGAAATTTTCTCCTCCATTTCACAGAAAAAATCTCAAATTATGAACTTTTAACTTTTTTATAATGTGAAAATTTTAAAAATAACGCAACAAAAAGTTTGAACGAAAATCAAAATACAATGTGAATGTTCAGTAAACAATAAACATACAATTAACTTTTGAAAAAACAAAACACATGTTAAAGTACAATGTGAATATTCACAATAAACAACGAACATACAACTAACCTTCGAAAAAACAAAACTCATACCAAAATACAATGTGAATTTTCATAGTTTACAATTAACATACAACTAGTTTTAAAAAAATAAATTCATTCCAATAGGAACATTTACATCACAATGTGAAAATATAAAACAAGCATGAAAAAAAATGAAAATTAATTATTTCGATTATTCAATAATAACAAAAATTATTGTTCAACCAACAAACATAGTAACAAAAATAACAAACATACAACTAACTTTCAAAAAAACAAAACTCATATTAACATACAATGTGAGTGTTCACAATTTACAATTAATATACAACTAGCCTTAAAAAAACTAAATTCATACCAATGTGAACATTCACACTGCAAAATGAAAACATGAAATAAAATTGAAAGGAAAAAAAAAAGATTGTTCAAACAAGTATAGTAACAAACAATATACAAAAAATCATCAAACAATATATAAAAAATATCAAATAGTTCATATATATCGACGCATCTTTTGAGAAAAATCTGTATATAATCAACACTGATATAATATCGGTGAACAAACTACACAATACCAGTGGCTACACAAATCGATGAAGAGAATACGGTTTGTGTAACAATGGTAAAAAAATGATTGTTCATCACCGATTTACCATCATCTCTGTTACAAGTCCATTATCATCTCTATTATCAGTTTACAACTAACCTTCTCATTCAAATATTCTTTCATGACAGGACTTTAATGCAAAATAATGGTAAAGGAAGATCCTTGATTAAGTAAATCCCTCACATTGAGGCAAAAAAATACAAGAATAATAATCTTTCATATTCTATACATAATGTTTTACATATATCACAAATAAATGTATCTAATAATTGATATTCTCTCTACTAGATATATGGCATAATATATGTATATAATATAATAAAAGTCTAGATAAAATAGTCCACATAATAATTCTAATATGAGAAAAATGACCTATTAGAATATAAATCTAAATATATGGGACTTGATGGAATATTACAAAATTTTATAGACTTATTGGGTTATAAGTCTACTAAATGGAATTTATAAATAAATCTCCCTATAAAGATACTAATTATTCCATGATTTATGTTTTTCAAAAGAAAAGTTAAAAGAAACTCTTTCCTGATTTATTCAAACTTATTATCTCTTATAAAAATTCAAAATGATAGATTAAAATTTCTTTTATCTTCTCTTTTTTCTCCAATATATTCTCTCTCTACACAAAACCCGAATTTGGGGTGCCTGCTGTACGGGAGTGCACAATAGTCACTGTTGTGCAATCAAATGGGCCCATTTCGGGGCCTATTTCTATAATTCAAACCGTTCACATTTTAGAATATATCAAGTAGAACATACCTGAAAAAAATCAATTTAATCAAATATCGTTTACCCTTTCATCTACTCACAATTGTAATTTATTTTTGTAGATACAAATGCGAGTGGATGAATGGGTAAAACGATATCCAATTAACTTGATTTTTTACAGGTATATTCTACTTGATATATTCTAAAATGTAAATGGTTCGGATTATCGAAATGAGCCCCAAAATGGTTCAATTTGACTGCACAACAGCGGCTGTTGTGCATCCCACATAGCAGCCACCCCAAATCCAGTTGTTATACAATCAAACTTTTTTTCACACCATATAAAACTTGTTTATTGCTCAAAATATTATTTCATGCAATAGATCATTGCAACACTTTTAAACTCCTTTGGCAGAGATATTCAAGGTTAGTTAATGTTTATTATTTTCTATTAATTATGTTCTAATTTTTTTTCTTCAAAATTTATGGCTAGGTGATAGCGGTGGGGTGGAGAGGGAAGGGTGGCATCAACGAATTTAAAGTGTACATCGACTCTATTAAAAAAGTTAATGTTTTGGGATTTTTCTAATTTTTTTTTAGAGAAATATAATGGAGCGTTTGTGACGATTCAGTATGTAAAGAAGATACCTCCGTGTTCACATTTAACAAATAAAAAAATATATATGTGTTTATATTTTTTTTAACAATAAATATTTTAATTATTTTCAATATAACATGTTGGTACCTTTTTTTTTATTTTTTTTATTTTTTTTTAGAGGTTGTAACCCCATTCATAGATACTTTTAAATACCTTAAATTTATTTACTAGCAGCAAGTTATACATTACTCCAGCAGATTTTAAAAATCAATCTTGATTAAGTTTAAGTATAGCAAAATTGTGCAAAATTAGTAAGTCAAAGTAAGTTTTTTTATATTTAGGATTACACAGTTTCCAAATATTTTCTTTAAAATAGTTTAATTTTGCAAGTGTTGAATATAACCAAAATTCGATGTGATTTATTCAGTTATATATATTTTTAAGAATTTGGGTGAAAATGTTTGGTTTAACATATTTTATAAGGCATAATTATTTTAAATACATTAAAAACTAAGAGATGAATGTTTTTACTTTACTTTTTGATATAATTTTAGATAATAATTGCAAAAGAGATGAATGTTTTCACATTTTACTTTCTGATATATATATTTCTTTTTGTAAATTTTACACCATTAAATGTTCCATATATCATTATATCTTGCAATTATTGTCCAAAATTAGATTTATATAAATTTAATTTTAAATTATATAAATATAATTATTTTAGAGTTTTAAACTTATATATAAATTAGATTTATATAAAAAGTGACACTTTTAGGGTTTTAAACTTAAATTTATATAAATTTAATTATTTTAGATATGATAATTATTATTATAATTTTTTTTCTTAATATGTGCTGCCATAATCACAATGTAATATAATTTGAAAATAATTCCTTTTATATTATTTGCAAATAATTCTCAATTTTGAAAAGGAAACCCTACACCTAAATCTTTCTATATTTTAAAATACAGTTTTGAAAATCATTCCATATTAGTTTTTGGAAACAATATAATTAAAAGATATTTGCAAAGTCATTATTAATGAATGCAATTAAAGGAAATTTATAAAGTCATTATTCATTAATTATATTCCTTTACTTATATTCATTAATAATGACTTTACAATTATATTGTTTCCAAGGACTAATATGGAATGATTTTTAAAATTGCATTTTAAAACATAGAAAGATTTAGGCGTAGGGTCTCCTTTTCTAAATTGAGAATTATTTGCAAATATTACAAAATAAATTATTTTCAAATAATATTACATTGCAATTATGATAACATAATTTAATAAAGACAATATAGAAAGACTAATATGGAAAGATTTTCACAATTGTATTTTAAATTCTTACATTGAAGGTACATATTTAACGAAAATTATTAAAAATTTATTAATTATTTTTATTGAAAATACACTTATTAGATTTATTTTTTTTAATTTTTAAAATTATTTTTGAGTTTTTTTTTAATATTCTATAAGCTTTATTTATTTATTATTATTATTTTATATATATATTTCAGTCAAATGCACCAAACTAAGATATCTATGAGAAAATAAAAAAAATTACTAAAAACAAAACACTACGAAAAATGCATTATGTTTTTTTTTTTTTACCTTTTCGATTTTGGTATTTTTTATTTGTTTTCTTAACAAATTTTACATTTTAAATGCATTTATGATTAGGGTTATTTGCATGAAAATCTCTTAAACTATTGAAAATTATCACCTTGAACCCCTAAACTATAAAAGTGTATAAATTAAGCCCTAAACTATATATTGAGAAGTAGTTTGCCCCCT